GGATGTTTGCTGCTTTAAAGTGTTTTAGTTTCTTTATATGAGGTTTGAACCTACAGGGGGCAGCAGGTACCCAAGAAATCATGATACCGGCACAGAAACTAAAAGCATGTACTGAAGTGTGCACGGTCAACAACGTGGATTTCACACACATAAAAGAGCTGATAGTGGATTATACTGCTCATTTATTCTAACTTACAACATTTTCACTACTTTACTCTTACAGTCCACTCATAAAACAGGTCATTTCATCTCCAAAAACATTGAAGTGGTTCATCTGCTGCAGCTGTTACTTAGTGTGTTTTAATGTGACTTTGGTGTTTTAATTGTTTGCTAATTCTACTCTAAACTTGAACTAAACCATCAAAACACCAGAAACATGTTTACTGTGAGCTACAAATTCTCTGCTGCCTTTAAAGAAACTGCTATAAACCAGCCTAAAGTTTAACATTAGGCACAACTTCAAACTGATGAAAGACTTGTTTTTTTTGTTAGAAGAAGAAAGATGCATACAGATGCTGAACATCTGTTTATATTATCTGCCACTAAATGGACAAAAGAAGGCTTTTTACTGCAGGAACGTTTCCCTACCTTGAGGATTTCTCCGTCGGCGTAAAGCACATATATGGTCACCTCGATGTTCTTCTGAACGCTTTTCCCTCCCCTCTCAAAATCTCCTCGCTCCAGTGTCAGGTACAGGTCGTTACGGATGTCACCTGGACCAGCAGAGACATGTTAATGCAGACTAATATGTGTCAAACACCAGCACACATGGTTGTTTCATTTGTAAAGATGCAACATAGATGCAAACGTCCGTAATCTCGAAGCAGGCGCGGTGTGTCGCACACATTTTAAGCTGACACACATAAGACTAACGACCTGTGTGGACCTGTGTGGACTCATTTATCACTCCCCGCTCGTCCTCATAGAGGAGGTGTCACCTTTAATGTATAAAGATGGGAGTTAAACACTCACTCCATCACTGCCTGAGGGGAGCAGTGGTTAATGTGTGTGAAAGACACTGGTGCCTGTGGGATGTGCAGCCCTGCTGTTTTCTTCCTGTTTGCTGCAGAGGGAAGCTTAATGTAAGCGTTCATTTGTTTACCTGTTAAGCTCATCGTCATTAAGAGTATTCACCTATGAGAGCAGCACAGCAGGTTCATGAGCTGGACTATGAAGCTGCTCGACTCGTGTCCTTTATTTCTAAAGGCCAAAGTTAAATACAAAGCACATGATTGGCTTGCAGGGCTGCTAAAAAGGACCTG